GATTATACACATTAATCATGGTGAACATTTTTCCTTTTGTCTAGTCTATGGAGACAGAGCCATATGTGTTTTCACAATTACCACTTTGAGATATCTTAATGTGCTTTAGTGTGAAGATAATGGGAAACCCTAAAATGTCAGTCCTTTCTAAAGCTACCTTATAAAGTACTTAAGAAAAATAGTATGATTAACACTTAGAAGGAATAAAAAGTAAGGTTGTAGCTCTAGACACAAGACCAAAGTCAATGAGGAAAGGAATTCCAAGAATTCATGTGACTTCAATGAGAAGGGTACAGTGCTGTATGTGAAGGGGGAAAAAAAAAAACATGTTAATCAGAAGAGGTGAGGTAACCCCCAGACTTATACTGATTCAGACTGGAGATAATGAGTAATTTTTCTCCTTTCTAGTGGTACACATCGTTTCATAGTAAAAATCCAGCTTTCCTAGTTATTTTTCCCTATGGGTTTTTTGTTTATTTGTTTGTTTGTTTTTGTTTTTGTTTTTGTTTTTTTGTGAGACTGGAAATAGAAAGTACTCACAGAATCAAGATTTTGCATGAACATAATGGATTCCTTTGCAAGCTGAGATTTGTCTGGGATGAATGTGCATTTTGCTTCATACAGACCCGTCTGTGAGTCCCATCTGCATGGCCTGGTTATGCAGCTGCCTCCTTTGCATTCCCTGAAAACCACCTTACGGCCAGTAATTTGGGTGGAACATCTATGATGGAAGAATTAGATTACAGGTACATTATATGAAGACCATCAAAGATCAACATCCTAAAATCTTTTCCTCAGTAACCACTGCTATAAATCATGTAACAAAAATTCCATTTTGGTAGAAATAGGCACAATATTCTAAACCGCTATTCACCATAAATTTCAATAACAACAATGTGTCAGGTCCTATTTATTAAACATTAATTGTTCACTAATTTGATGAATATATATCTTACCTTTGCAACTTTGAGCTGAAGATAATAAGTTTAATTTGCAGGAGTGCTATGAAGATTAATGAGTTAGGAGATACAGAAAAATTACATCTTAGTGGATGGGGAGAGTCAACATTATACCTAAAGTTCTCCAAAATTTCCAGATGTGGTATATTCAGTTTTGAATTTACAGAACTTTATAGTTTACATTTTGAGAACTATTGGGCTAGACTGAAGGAAGAAATAAAAATACATTCCGCATGGAAATTTTTATGTATTTAAGGATAAGTATCAAGTCCCTGGGAGGTGGATATGGGTAGAGACTTCCACAGTTTCTGTTTACATGTAGGATATCCTCTCATTCTGTGTTAATATTAGCCTTCATAACCTAATCCACTTTAATACATTTGTTTGTGTTTGCAAAGATTAAGGGAGATGAGTCATGTCTTGAAGGGTTTAGTTCTAGGATAAGCTTGAAAGTTAACCATACTAAAAGACCTGGTGTACAATAGACCTCAGTAAATGTTTTAGATACTTGTTTTCACTGGTCTCTGTCTCTAACTGACTACAAGAAAACTCATTCATTTCTTGTTAATTTTCCCGAAGTTTATTGTTTTATACATTCTTTGTTTAGCTTTTATTTTATGGCATGGGGATTAAAAAAAAACACAGTCCTCAAAGATCTTAAAGTCAAATGGGGAAAATAAAATTGCATGGGCAGTTACCGCCCAGTGATGTAAATGTGAGCGATGGCCACACATGTTGCTATGGGAGCACTCTCAAATGCAGGGAGAGGAAAGGCATTTAGAGGAAGAATGTTGGAACTGAGTCTTGAAGGATTAGCAGACATTGTGTAAGGAAGGAGTTGCACAGGTGAAGGTGGGAGGAATGAGTGTCTGAGGCTGAGGGTCTATGTGAAAGACTAGAGGCAGCTCAGTGAACATCAAGCAACTCAAAGGAGGAGGGAAGAGGCATGTTTTTATTACCCCTGTTCCATGTAATTCATTTTTTTACCTCAAAGCCTTATTTACTAATTTTGTTTCTATTGTTCTTCAATATTCTTTAATCCATGTGCCTGATACTTTTAATTCAAAGGTTTGAATATCTCAGCTACTGATTAATAGAGACAGTTTATATCTACTCCCAGAATTGTATATGTTTAAAAAATAAGTTTATTCACTTACCCTTATAAGATATACTTTTTGCTTTAAGATAAAGATTAAATGAAAAGTAAAATATATTTACCATGAATGAAATCTATTCACCTTAAAAAGTTATGGATCAAGTAGAATGAAAAAGTGGGCTGGATTGAACTCCAATTCTCTGATATTTTGGGATTTAGGCTATGGTTTTTTTTCTTTCTCTCCAGTCACTAACATATATTAGTACAGTTTCTGTGGGTACTGAAATGATTCCCATTTCCTTATTGACATTGGTTCCAAGATGGAATCCCCAGAATTAATGGAACACATACACAGGGGCCAGGATGGATATCACAATTAATTATATGAACATCCAATCACTTGAGAAAGCCTTTGTGTGCCTGGTGCAGAAAATTAAAGATATGAAAGTGAAAAGTTTTGAAAATACATTTCTTTGATACATACCTTGTTGCTTCAATAGTATTCTTTGTGGAACTATAGAATGGCCGATCCACATTATACTCATCAAATACTCCCCACCGAAGGTGGGCCCATTCATGGGCAAATACTCTGCCTATGAGAGAACATTGCCGCTTGTAAATTTATAGTTAAATTATTTTAATACAGTTCCCTCATATTTTAAGTTTCTCTGCCCCATTTCACTGACTTAATTGAGTTAAGGAACTCTAAAAATTAATGCCTTTCATTAGTTCAAAAAATTTGAAATGGGTTTGTGTCAATAAGTGACTCATTATTAAACATGTACAGAAAGATATACTTAGATTAAGTATAATTAACATATTTACAAGCAAAGGTATTAACTAATATTTATTTTTTTAAGTCTTTAAGTTGTAACTAATCACAGTGTTACATATTTTTCCCATTTGAGTTAAGAGAGAAAGTATAAAATAGATAATCTTCACCTCGGGGCCCATAAGCAGATAAGTTATTAGTCAATAAGAAGTTTGGAGTAAAATGTATATATTGTCCTTTGTCTCCACATTGTCCATATTGCAGTGTATAAGGATCATCTGCATATTTCAGAGAAGGATTTGCAATTATGACATCTGCCTAAAAGCAGAACAAATAAAAAGTCCAGGAGCAGTAGAAACAAGGAATTTTAGAAACAAGGACTTTTTCATGTACATTAAGAAGAGCTCTATTACTAATTTAATGATGAAATTAGTTATTAATAATTACCAAGACAGCATAAGTGCTGATTAAAAAAAAAGTAGGAAACAGATTAAGAGTTAGATAAAATAGCCCACCTGGTCATATGATTCTTGTTTTGGCATTAAGTACTCAGATTTTGATTTCCAGGTTGTTGGAACTAAAATGTGTACATTCCTGAAAAAAACTCTTCTTTTGGTAGCTTGAAACAGGTAAGTAGATGCATCAGTTACCATTTCCTGTCAAAATTAAAATTATCTTGTGGTAACAGTTTCACAGTGAAATGAGCATAAACACACACACACACACACACAAACCAGAAGAAGAAAATCAAAGCTCCATTTCCCAAAACAGTTTGGCAGGGAATAATTGAAAAACAGGTTGAATTTTACTACTTCTCTACACTGGGTAAACTATTCATTTTCATGTCAAAACTCAACCCTGTGTTTCTACCTGTCTGCACCTACACTCAGCATTATGGATGGGTTGGAGGTTGAAATAAGGGTGTTGAGTGAGATACATAGGTGATTAAAATTGGGAACCTTTTGGCATGTTTCTTCTTGAATTAAACAGTTGTTTTCATAATTGGGTTATTTAAAGAAATTGTGTTTAATATTTGATAGGTTATTATAGTTGTGGGTGTTATCCTCTCGTATGGAATATGTTCATCAAAAACTATGTTTTACCAAGTAGTAAAAATTGAAAAAAAAAAAAAAAAACAAAACAGGTGTGATTGGCTTCAGATTCCGGTTTTGCCACTAATTGTAAGACAGTTCAAATCACTTAATTTCTTTCATTTATATGACACAAAATAGTAATCTTTGCTTTTGACCACAGGAATAATGGGAGTATCAAAGAAGATAATATATATTAAAGTGACATACAAATAAACTTAAGAAAATTTCACCTTCAAAAATATGTAAGGGCAAGAATTTAGTCTAGCAGTTAGAATGATGATCAAAACATTTGTGTCCGACATTAGAATGCCTGGGTTCAATTCCCAGCTCAGCTTTGATTTCACCTTCCTATTAATGCATACCCTGGGAGGCAGCCCATGTCAACTCAAGAAATTAAGTCTCAAGTAATTGGATCCCTGCCGTTGAACAGGGAGAAATAAATGTGGATCAGATTCTCAGCTCCTGGGCATTTTGAGAGTGAACCAATGGATGGGAGCTCTCCCTCTCTGCCTCTTGAATGAAAAAAAGAATTTTTTTAACTTTCATTTAATGAATATAAATTTCCAAAGTACAGCTTATGGATTACAATGGCTTCCCCTGCATAACATCCCTCCCACCCGAAAAAAAGAATTTAATGTAATATTTTCTTTAAGATAGATACATGAGAATTTAAAATTTTCAGGGTTAAAAAATTATGAACAACTGAAAAAATATGTCAGATAATGAATGCCTAGGGCTTAAATGTGGGTAAGTAAAATGTTATAAAAGTAATTTTATAAAGATAAAATTTAATAATGTTTTTCCATTTACTCTAAAATGTTTCTGTTAACTATTTGAAAAAAATATTAGTAGTTTGTCCCTTTTAGTAATTCATTAGGGGAATTATTATATGTTATTATTTAGTATTATAATAAAAATATGCAAAATCTTTAGATAAATACTGCATAAATGATGAATACTGTCTGAGTAATTTTGGAAAGTTACAACTCTGTATGAGTGCATGTGTATAAGCCTAGGGCAACATGTGTTGAAAATACTCACTGAAATGAAAATATGCAAATAATAAAATTTTCCCTTACCTTTATGTTTTGAATGAGTTTTTCATCTTCAGGAACACTGGGATTAATTGCAATGACAATGCCATCGTATCCATTGTTATTCAAATTTACCATTGAGCTTTTCACCTCAGGCAAGAGATGTAAGGCTAGAAAGAGAATAATGTTCAGGCTGAACTCCATCTTTGCACTTGCTACATGAACTGTTTGGAAATGAAAAGAAGGTATTTATGTATCTGCTTAAGTCAGGAATTTGAACCAAGACCAAAATATTTGCATAAATATATGTAGCAAATAACTAATTTTTTGGGTGAACTTCCTTATCTTACTCATTCTAAAGATTTAGTTGGTAAATAGCAATGGGGATTATGGTGAACATATTTATCATGCTTTTTGAGACAGTGAAGGCATTAACTATTCACTGAATGGAGCCATTCTAATGGATTGTTTGTGTAGTCATATTCATAGTGGTAGGGGGCCATCACCATCATCATCATCACCGTCACCACCAAATGGTGTTAGAGATGTAACTTCTGAGATTTGTTTGAAGAAAAGCACTTTATGGAAAGGAGAGGAACTGAAATTAAACCACGAGGAAAGAGCAGATGAAAAAATCCCTGAGAGTGGCAGTGAATTAAAGGATTATATTTTTTGTTTAGATGGAAGTGATTTAAATTAGGTGGTTTTGGAACAGCTATGGGTCAAGGGGAAAATGTTATTACTGATTATCTTTGGTAATTTCTACTTATGTAGTTTTCAAACAGCATTAAATGTTTTAAGTCCCTCTGTAACTTGAACACTTAATAGACTTCAATTAAGATTTCCATTTTGGACTGAACTCAAATATTCCCTTGCTTGAAATAGTTGTATCCATAGCATCCTGAGTTGCCTGTGGAGTCATGGAATCTAAACCTGTCTCTCGCCTGGATGGCTTAACAATCATGTGACTCTTATTTGCAGTTGAGGATCTTTTTTAGGCCTCCTTTCTTTTCCATGGTGTCAGAAGGATTATGAGATGTTGGAAGAATTAAATGAGATAACCTATTAAAATCACTTCATAGAGAATTCTGACACCATAATAAGCCCTCAAAAATATCCATTATTTTAAAACATTATATATTCTGACTAGAGAGCTTGCTGTAAATTTTTGCCAATTCACCTCTATATTTCTGTTGGCTTAATTTATAGAACTCTAAATATAGTCTTCCAGGGTTTAACTGGGGAATCCGGAGTCCTTGAGCCTGCCTGAGAACATGTATAGCAGGAGCCGTCTATCAGAGTGAAACTGTAAGCTTTCCAGAATGTTCTTTGAAATCTCCATCTACAGACAGTATCCTATCCTTGCTGGTGTGATTAGGGGTGGCCTCACTCATAAAATCTTTCCAAATCATCCAGACTAGAAGTCAACAAGTTCTTTCTTGAGAATATGTTTGCCTCACTGTGTTTACATCATACCTGCATTACATGTTATTAATTGTGTATAGAATATCTCCTTACTACAGTGTAAATTCCTTGGAGGGAAGAATTTTTCCCCCTAAATTTAACCTCTCTTAACCTTAATTTTCTTAATTGCATGATAATACCTGTTTCGAAAATGATTGGAAAGTTAAATGTAGTAACGTGTAAAACCATCTATTTTAAGTACTGGTATGTGGTAAGGCCCGCAATAAATGTTGATTCCTTGCTTTTCCTTATTCCTTCTAATTCACATGAAAAAAAAAAAATTGAGTGCTTCTATGTACCAGGCCCAGTGCTGTACTCTTCAGAGCGTACAGAAGTGAGAAAAACATGGGCACTGCCTCCTGAACATGAAGATTTGTTGCTCAGATTAGAATAAAAAAAGTTAAAACATAAGGAAGAGTAAGAGAAGTTCTAGGAGAGAGAATTACTTTTAATGCCAAGGAACTAAAAGTTGGGGCATAGTTCCTATGTGATGAAGAAGTCATAAAGTGTTTAGGGGACAGGCCAGTCTGCAGAAAACAGAGGCATGGAGAAGTTAATTAATCTGCCATAGAGTATGCTTTCAGAAAGGCACATTTAAAATCAGGCCATCTAGTTTCAGAGCCTATGCGTTAAAAGCCTATTTAACCCATAGGACTTTTTAAAAAGATGGCCAATGAGCACCAACCTTGAAAATTATTTGAAAGTAGTTTCTCCTTACTTCTTTTATAGATTAGATGTCAGCAGAAGATTCAGGAGAATGTGAATGGCTATAATTGAGTTGTATGATTCAGTATAAGTTCTATCTTGTTTCAACTTTAAACTGAAGAATGGGATTTTCTTTTGACTATTTTGCCTTTGGAAAAGTTAAGTACAATACAAGTATTTCAGAATTTAATTATTCATTTTTGGTAATTCTGATGAAACTATATTTCAGCTAATCAAAAATGAATTAAAAGCAAATATCGTTCTTTGAAACATGAAATTCAAAGATGGCAATGTTTAGAGCTCACCCATTGATATGGTCCATGTGATTCAGAGATTATGAGACAATATAAGTGTCCACACCTACTCATTCTCCAAGACAGTCATCCTTAAATGTCATAGTTACTTCCTGTAGAGATAATGCTGAACTTAGCTATAACATAAACTTGGAACTAAAGATACAGTCAACTGGCAGCTTGATTTCCTTGTAGATACTCCCTCAAAATTCTCTTTATTAGCTCTTTTTTCTTTGCTTCTTTTATACCATCACCTTTGGAGTGTTTTCTTTTTTAAGATTTTATTTTTTATTTGAGAGGTAGAGTTACAGATAGAGAGGGAGAGACAGAAAAGAAAGGGGTCTTCCATCCACTGGTTCACTCCCTAAAGGGCTGCAATGGCTGGAGCTGATCCAATCTGAAGCCAGGAAGCAGGAACTTTCTCCAAGTCTCCCACATGGGTGCAGGGGCCCAAGCATTTGAGCTATCCTCTACTACTTTCCCAAGCCATAAGCAGAGAGCTAGATCTGAAGAGGAACAGCTGGGACACAAACCGGCACTGATATGGGATACTGGGGCTGCAGGCAGAGACTTAGCCTACAATGCCATAGCACCGGCCTCTGGAATGTTGTTATTTTATTACCAGTATTTATGTCCTTCATTTGTGAATATTTTCTTCATTCTTTTCATTTATAAATTTGGCCACTTATTTACTCATCACCCAGTGAATTGAATGAACACTAGCAATGTGTCAGGCACTGTGCTAGGCAGCAGTATATAAAATTGATCAATTTGTGTACCTTACCTATTTCACAAGTACCTATGATCTAGTGAGAATTCTGGACACTAGTAATTACTTTCATTTTCTGTTGCTCTTCCTGCAACACTCAGTGTTATTTCAGTTCAGAGAAAACTTTGATAATTATGTAAATGATCATTATGATTTTCGTATTTAACATCTCAAGCTAACCTTGTTAATTCCTACATTTGATAGTGTACTGCGTAAGTTGCCACAAAATCCATGTTCTTTGTCCTCCTTACTAAAAGCTTCAATTTTTTTTTCCTTAATTATCATGCGACTGAAATGAAAGTCACTTCCATTCCAAGCTTATGGGTAAATCCAAGTGGTGCAAACTCATGGTCCTCAAAGTGTAATTTGGAGATACATAGAGGTCTCCAAGACCCCTTCAAAGGACCTGAATGGTCAAAACTTATTGTAATGGTAATACTAAGAAATTGTTTGCATTTTTTAAAAAGATTTATTTATTTATTTATTTATTACAGAGAGAGAGAGAGAGAGAGAGAGAGAATATCTTCCATCTGCTGGTTCAATCCTAAATGGTCACAACAGTTAGGACTGGGCCAGGCTGAAGTCAGGAACAGAAACTCCATGAGGGAGGAACTCAAGAACTTGAGTCATGATCAGCTGAGCTGCTTCCAAGGCACATTAACAGGGAGCTGGATTGGAAACAGAGTAGCAGAGACTTGAACCAGCATTGTGATATGGCATGTAGGCTTCCCAAATTGTGGCTTAACTTGCTGTGTCACAATGCTTACCCTTATTTGTATTTTTTAGTGTGCTGGCATTTGATGATAACATGTAGTGGAAAGAACTGCTAGCACCATAGCACAAATCTAAGCTGTGACACTATACCTGTTAGACCCTCGGAGTGAGGATGCTAACACGTCGAGAGGCATACCCCAAAGACTCAGACTCCAGACCAGCTGATGCAAAAGCAAGAGGATTTATTCAGCGTCTGCGCAGACGGGCCTCCTGAACTCGGAGTCCAGAGAGCGCCCCCAGCACAAAGCCACACGGTTTATATACCCGCAGTGACCAATCAAAAGCACTATAGAGTCCATGCACACAGCAGTCCAATCCGCGAGCTGATCATGTGAAGGGCATGCGTCTTCTATCCAATCAGCTACGGGATCACATGGGAGGCATGCACCTCGTCGCCATTTTGTTGTTTACTTCTTTAGTAGTTCCTTTCCCTGCCAGTGCCATCTTGTTCACCCTGGGGTGGGGGGCGACGTCTTGCTCCCTTTGTTCCCCTTGTGGGAGAGCGGCGTCCCGCTTCCCACACCGTTATTTGAGTATTAGGAGGCATACAAACTGGGTTAGGTCTTAGCATAGCCAGGCACAAGTGTCGCAGCTAGCTAAGCATAGGGTCCCTTATTTTTATAGCTACACCTAATTTTAGCTTTGGGGGAAAAAGTTTAGGGCTGTAATTTTTAAACTTTAATTTTTTATTTGGGGCAAAGGTAACTTCTTATTTTTAATAGTGTTAGCTTAAGTCACTCCATCTTGGTTTGATTTTTAAGGTTCTTCATACCATAGTACTTAGAGTTATTGAATTCTTCACTGCCAAGACTAATGGGTGTTTCACTTAATAATAATCCTAATTTTATTAAATCTCTAACCTTGTATACACATCTTTCTTTATTCTTTGTGATGTGTTTTTGAAGTCTGATGGTTTTCTTAAGGAAAATCACTAGAGCAAATGATGAGATGAATGAACTGAATGAAGACCCACTTTTGTTTGAAAGAACTATTGACAAAACAAACTATGGCTATTAAGACAACTATTTCGCAGATATTTTTCAAATATTTCCTCACTTAGAGGAAAACAACCAGCAGTATCTTGCCACGAAAAAAAAATTGTGCTTTTAAAAATAGAACCTTTGAAAACTTACTTCTGGGGCTGGCACCATGGCGCACTAGGTTAATCCTCCACCTGTGGTGCCAGTATCCCATATGAGCACCAGGTTCTAGTCCTGGTTGCTCCTCTTCCAGTCCAGCTCTCTGCTGTGGCCCGGGAAGGCAATGGAGGATGGCCCAAGTGCTTGGGCCCCTGCACCCGCATGGGAGACCAGGAGGAGGCACCTGGCTCCTGGCTTCGAATCAGTGTAGCTCCGGCCGTTGCGGCCATTTGGGGGGTGGACCATTGGATGGAAGACCTTTCTCTCTGTCCCTCTCTCTCTCACTGTTTGTAACTCTACCTGTCAAATAAATAAATAAAAAATCTTAAAAAAAAAAAAAGAAAACTTGCTTCTCCCATTGCAAATATGACAGGTTTCCATACTTAAAAGATTTTTCTGATGAGAGGCTGGTGGTGATACTAATATAAGCTACTGCTTTATATAGTGAAATGTATCAGCATTCAGAAGAGTCACATGAATCAGTGAACCAATAGTTTCCAAGTGACCAATGCATGATATTATAAAATAATACATGAGTAAACAATCTATTCAAAATATAAAATAGACCAGCAGATATTTATTTTATATCAATTTACTTGATTTCATAATGTGTTTTATAAATCAATGCTTTTTTTAAAACATTAATTCCTAGAATTTCAGTAAAACTAGTATCACTTAATTGAAATGCCAATTAATGAATTTGATTTTTGCAGTGTCTTTCCTTTAATATACTCACTAATCAGCATCAATAAAAGATGTGGCTTGCATTTTAATAATTTATTCCTCAATGCTCAGGAAACCTTTTTGGGAGCAGTTTTAGTTGTTGATCAAACTAATGGATTACATGAGGAATTGTTTGAAAAACTAAAAGAAAGAAAGATCAAAGGAGCAATACAGTATTAAATAACTTGTTCTTAGTTATTCATCAAGAGTCAATAAAGTCAAAGAGCTTTTTATTTGTTTTCTTCTAGAGGTTTTAATGTTTCAGGTATTATTTGGTTTTTGTGAGTGGTGTAAAACAGAGGTCCAATTTCATTCTTTGGTGTGTGAATAGCAGTTTTCAAGCACTATGCATTGAAGACTGTCGTATCTTCATTTCATAGCTTGGTGTCCTTTTCAAAGATTAGTAGATTATATGTGGGGGAGGCTGAATCCGGAAAGGCCTAGAGGAACTTCCTAAGCCTGCCTCGAATTTGAAAACCTGTCTATAAGTTTCAAATCCCTGGCTGATAAACAACCCAGCCCCATGACGCTTTTGCCTAAGGATCATTGAGGTGGTATAATAGGATTGGCTAAAACCCTTTGCATCACATCACCCCACCCCTTGCCCGAATCTGCTCTGTACCACAGCCATATAAACACTTTTACAATAAAGTGAGATCCTGCTTCGACTCGACTCCCCACCACATCTGATCATCCCTCGGGGTTTGGGGAGGCTGAGTGGTGGGTGGCGCACTTCCCCTCCTCAACCAAGGCAAGCTGCAGGCAGCCGCCTAATTCTCTTTAGATACCATACAAATATAAGACCCTATAAAATTCCAGTGTGGCTAAACTCAACTAAGGGCAGATTTTTTTATTTTTAAATTTAATTAAGAGTTGGAAAATTTTCCGGTCTTACATCCATATCTATTTGTATCAGATATACAGTGATTACTGGAATCATTGAAAAAACAAAAACAAAAACAACCCAAACCAGCCCTGGAACCCAGAAGTTGACTGATAATTTTGTTATCTGGCAAGATTTAGTTCTGAGTCAAAAGGTTCATGTACTTTGATTTAGAACTGAGTCACTTGGTAAAGTCCCATAAAGATATAACAATATACTTTGACTGTTAATGTAAATTATGGCTTATTTGAAGATAAATTTCCATAGTTACCACTCACCCGCTATAGTTTGAATATGAAGATATGTAGGAAGGAGAACAAACTTTATTTTATGGTTAGTAGTACTCATAACTTTGAAATATCTAAATGTATGGTCATGTACCATTTGTGCAAAAGTGTTAGAGAAGTGCCCCTTAACCTTACTTTCCACGTGATCTCTCCTGAAGTCCTTTGCGTTTCCTCCCTGTTCCCTGGCATGGTCAGCTATTTTTAGAGTGGTGTCTTTTCCCTTGTCATTTCCTTTTTCTGGAATGTCCTTCCTCTTTTGCTGGGGAGAGTCTCCCATTCTTTAAAGATTAACTCAAAAGTTTCTTTCCTGGGAAGCCTACTGATCCTCCCTCTATGGTTGCAAAGACATTTTTAATTATACCTATCATTTCACCTATAGTAGTGAGCCTTTGAAACAAGTTTTTGTGTTATTCCTAGTTACCTTACGAGAAAGTTCAAAACCCTTAGATTTTCAAGGCCCCACCCTATCACACACCACCTGTTTTTCAGCCTCACCTCTCACTCTGATCAGATGAGTCATTCTGTTTCTCAATGGACAGGCTCTCTTCTCAATCTGTTTGTACATGCTATTCCTTTTGCCTTGGACACCATTTTCTATCCTCTTGGTGACTATTCAGCCCTTAAGTTTTCCCTACATTTTTACTTCCTCAGAGAGACTTTCAAAGACTCCCAGATGAGGCTGGTTCTCACTGAGACAGGTGTCCACAGCATTCTATCCTTTGCATTTAGAGGTATCTTTTCCACTGGACTTCGTGATTATGTCTATTTTGTTGACAGTTATATACTCATTACTTAAGTATAGGTTTGGCGCCTCAGAATCACTTGTTAAATATTTCTTGGTAGGATGAGTGGAAGGACTATCATTGAATGGGCCCAGGTATTTGTCTCCAATGCAAGAAAGAATTCAAGGACAAGATGTAAGTAAAGGTTAAGAGAGAAATAAGAGACAATATTAGCAAAGTGAAATTACACACTCCAGAGGGAATGCAGGCATCAAGAGTGAACTGTACCCAGGGAGGTTCAGGATTTGGGAGTGAGACAGCTTTTTTCTGCCAAAGGCCATTGATGTGTTTATAGCTTCATTCACAGGTTACACGGAATTATCAAGTTAAAACTTAGCCTGCTTTAGATTTATTGAATTTTGAGTCATGCCTGTGGTTGCCTTGACAAGGCCAGAGCAAATGATTTCATGACCTTCATATGGGTGCAGGCCAGATGCACCCCACCCCTGATTTATATGATCTGCACAGGGCAGAGGAGTAGAATATTCATAGAAGGTGGTGTTTCGGTGGGGCTTTCTAGGAGTAAGGGGAGAGTTCTAGGAATTTGAGTACCATCTGTTTTCTTTCCTTTTTATGAAAACTCACAAGTGTCATGTTGTTAGGTGTATGGTGGGAGAAGAGTGTCACCCCTGGTAATTTATTAGAATGTTATAATAATTAGTTAGAGGTCATCATGGGAACATGGACAACAGTTTGTTGGGCATTTCTAGCAGCTCCATTTCAGGTCAGCAGTATTGTGGCAAGAGCAGTCTTGGGTTACCTTAGCACAGACATATGGAGGGGAAGTTGAGTGAAGCAGGCAGAGTCATGGGGTCTGACGGCCCTCAGAGCTCTCCTTGCCCATGTCATTCTCTTCTGCCTCTGAGATTTGGGACCCTTTACTTTTTGGAGGTCTAGGGGAGAAGGCTCATTTTCTATAATTTCTTCATGATGTGTCAGGACCTAATCCTTGCCTGGCTAGGGAACTGAACTTCCTTTCTAGCTGATCTTGAAGTACCAGTGGCAGAGCTAGAGGTTTGTCACCAGTTTTTGGTAATGGCTTGAATCCTTGCCTGACCAAAAGAGGTCTTCCATCTGCTGGTTCATTCCCCAGTTGGCCGCAATGGCCGGAGATAAGCTGATCTGAAGCAAGGAGCCAGAAGCTTCTTCTGGATCAACCACACGGGTGCAGAGACTCAAGGACTTAGGCAATCCTTCACTGCTTTCTCAGGCCATAGCAGAGAGCTGGATTGGAAGTGGAGCAGCTGGGACTCGAACCAGCGCCCATATGGGATGCCAGCACTGCAGGCAGCAGCTTTACCCACTATGCCACAGCACCGGCTCCATGAACATGTTTTTCACATGAAACCGTGGATTACAAAAGAGATAAATTCAATAATTACTTTGAGAATACATGGGCCAAAATGGAGCAAGTATATGAACCATGTCAGTGAAAGAACACCTGTTACTGCTTCCCAGATGGTGCAAGCCAGATGACTTCCTTCAACACAATCATGGAACCACTTGGTTAATTATACATCCTTCTGATATCTTCAATCAGCCCACTGATGTTAGTGCAAGTATGGGAGATTCTATTAGTCACTGCACATACTTCTCTCATTTCTACCATTAGGTAATCTAGTGCTGCTTGGTTGTCCAAGATCATATTAAGTAAGGAATCTAAGCCATCTTGTTTTGCTGTAGGGACTAGCCAGTGGTCTGGGCTCAGTTGCTCAAGTCAGCAAGAGGTTTCTCATAGCAACTTCATCTTATGTGGTAAGATTTTATCCTTTGACATAATATTGCTATTATGGTAGAAAATTTACTAGGGAATATTTTGGCTAATGGTAGTTTTCCAAGGAAAATAGTAGAAGAGAAGAAAAAGCATATTTATCAGAAAGTTCAACAACTTCAGTGTCTTTTTTTAGGGGATAGTATTCAGCAAAGGCAAGAATTTTACTTATCTTTTAACCTTCTAAAAATAAATTGGGGTCCTCAATATGCTCATGAGAGTAGGCAGAGTTAATCTCTGGGCCTGTGAAGACTGAAAGTTGTAGAAACTAAATTCTTAGCCTATGTATGCAGCTAGAAATTCTTTGTAATTTAACTGCAATGGTTGTGCTAAGTAGCTCCTAAGTGTGTCCTTTCTATTAAGGCTATAATTGGTTAGAGAGGGATCCCTTTCTCCAAGTTTTTAACAAAGCTTGGTTTTCTGGGGAGATTGACAGTTTATGATTTTTGGAATCTGGTGCTAGAAGATTTTATTGCCATATTCCTTCAGAGCCTCTGTACCTGACCTAAATTGATAATATGCTTTATTTGACCTAGGATATCTAAATCAAAGGGGATGTCAGAGATGAGAGAGAGCCTCCTATTTAACATCCCAAATGGGTTAAATTGTAAGGTGGCCTTGGGTGCCATCCACACCCTAAGGAGAGCAATGGACAATGTCTTGAACCAGGAGTCTGAGGTCTCTTGGCATGATTTGGCCAGAGAGTTTTAAAATACTTGTTGTCTCTTTCAACCTTGCCTGAGTATTGTATCCTCTGAAAGGCAGGGAGGTGGCAGAAGATTCAAAGAGCAGAGACAAAGTGGGAGGTCATTGTCACTCTGGAGTGACATTAGGAGCCCAAAACATGGGATTATTTATTTTAATAGAACTTTGCATACTTCTTGTGCCTTTTCTGTTTGGATAAGAAGCCTTCTGTACATCCAGTGAAAGTATCATTGAAGATTAATCAGTTGCTGGGGGCATATCAGTGACATTAGTGCATTAGTGAATCCTCACCTGGTTAGGTTTCTGTCCTTTGTATCAAAGTGAGTAAAAAGGTGGTTTGTTGTGGCTGCCAGGGTTATTTAGAAGATCCTGGGACAGAACTGAGTCACTTTCTTTATAACAGAATGTAGTCCTTTTCCTCTAAAGACACAGGAAACTGTTTGAATTTGGACCTGTCTTCCCAGATGGGTAGAGTCGTGCATTGTTTTGTTAATTTTCCATCAAGAGGCCATTGAGAGCATGGTTATATTATCTAAACTTCACCCCCAACTGACGGCTTTAGTGTAATCTCCTTGCCAGGTTCATTCTATCTCAGGTGTGGTATAATAGGGCTGTCCATCTGTCTCTAAAAACTGGGAACCATTTTTGGGACCTTCTGGGTATCAGCATTCTTCTATCTACTCATGCAGTTGCAGTGATTATGTGATATTCCCTTTTTGGTATCCCCTGTAATGAAAAGAGCTGAGGTGTTGGTTAGTAATGCATGCGCTCTACAACTCGGGTAAGATCTACTATGGTATATCCTGCCTTTCTAACTCCTTCCTTCAGGAAACTGCTGCCATCAGTAAACTGTTCAACATCTGGGTTTTCCAGAGGTTCATGCTAGCTAAACTTCACCACGTCGGGATTACTGAAGTAGGATGCTGCATGACCTCTCTCCGCACAAGTGTGAGTGGACTTTTCAGTATCTTCAGATGGCAGAAGAGTAGCTGGATTGAGGATGTGCATGCTTTGAGAGTTACTCCAGGTGAATCTAAAAGGACACTTAGGAAAGCATTCTCCTGTTGGTCATTGGTGTCCTTCAATTTCCAGAGTCCCTTGTACTTGGTGTGGAGTTTGAGGCTAGCCTTAATTCGATTTTTGTGATTTCCCCTACCAAAAGTGCAGTCACAGAAACCACTTTCAGTCACCCGGGTCATCCTGTGGCCCTTGAGTGGGACTTTTTAGAAAAGTAAGCCACTGGCCATGGAATTGGACCCAGTTTAGGGGCAAGTACACCCAGGTCTATTGGTTTTCTTTCAACTACAAACAGGGTGAAAGGCTTTTCTAAATGAGAAATCCCTCTTGCCTGGGCTATTGCCAGCAAAACTTACTCTTGTGAAAGGCCTTGTGTTTTCCTGTCCTTTCTAGTGGATATCAGGGCCCTTTAAAAAGGATTTGGTTATCAATCCATATCCTGGGATCTAGATTCTACAGAGTCTTGACATTACCAGGCATGGTCTTAGCTTTTTTTTTTTTTTCTTCTTCTCTGTGGCAGTCTTTCACACAATATGACTTCCTGTTAAATGAGAGGACATAGTTTTCCAGGGTTAAGACATATCCCAGTTAGGCTACTTCCTGTTTAGAGATCTGAACTTTCATTGGGGAAACTTCATGCCCTTTTTCTTTAAAAAATTTAAAGACTTAAAATGGTATTTTCATGAGTTTTCCTTAGAGGGGCTGTAGATTAGGTTATAATCTACATATTATTTATACTTATTTAAGGCAGCTATAGAAAAAAAGACATCTATGGGGCCAGCGCTGTACTGTAGTGGATAAAGCCACCACTTGCATTGCTGGCATGCCATATGGGTGCTGGTTCTAGACCGGCTGCTCCATTTCCAATCCAGCTCTCTGCTATGGCCTGAGAAAGCAGTAGAAGATGGCCAAACACTTAAGGCCCCTGCACTGATGTGGGAGACCTGGAGGAAGCTCCTGGCTCCTGGCTTTAGATTGTTGCGGACAATTGAGGAGTGAACC